TTGGGACGAACAAGATAAGTTTTGAAACCAGGCAGTTACTGATTGTGCGTATGTGTAGAAAATTGGTCCAAAAAGCGTATGCGTTTACACAAGAAGAAGACAAAAAATCGTTTATGTTTGTAAAGTTTGTGGCTTGTAGTAACAATCATCATCAACGATGGTGTAGCCTCAAGAACGCACTCAATAAAACCTGATGTCCGCATATAATTTTTTTTTATATATCCGTCATACCAATAACAACAACAACTAGTCTAAAAGGCAGAAGCACAAAGCAACACCATCAGAACAAAGACGGAAAAAAGCGACAGCAGCAACAACAACAACAACATTGTTCAACAAAAACTGAATGTAGTCAAAAGAGTAGAGTTCCTTGATAAATGACCTCAATATATACATAAATAACTAGCTCTCTGTATGTGTATGTATGTATATCACTCAGACGTCATTATCATGATTATTTTTATGATGATGTCGATTTTGTGTATCAAAAACAAAAAGAAAACCTTAAACGCAAAAAATTTCCCTCCTTGAGTTTTTTGCCTAGAGGCGGCGGCAAGCAGCAATGCCACCAAATTATTATCATCATCAATATCACACCACCACATCACATGTGTGTGTGTTTGCGTTCTCATCAACATCATCACGAAATGATCATGGCGTTTTAGTTTTTCCTGTATCTATAGGTTATGTCTGTCTGTCATTCTATATGGGTTTATCTATTTCTACAAAATAAAATGACGGAACGATTTCATTTTCCACAAGTACTACAGCAACAACAATAAAAGCCATGCATACTTGAAAATTAATTAACCTTTGATCTAAAATGTTAAACAAAAACGATAATAGGAGGTATGTCTGTAACATTGTGGCTTTTATAGATTTTTGTTCTCTGTTGCAGTCACTTTGTCGTCATTCAGAAACACACACACAGAGATAGCTAGATGTGGTTGTTTTTTTGTATTTTTCTATTCAAGTGCAAATTCATCAGTTTCCTACTTTGTAGATATTTACATTGAGTTTTATATATATGATGCCTTTGCCAGTGTGAGTCTATGTGTTGCGTGCTTTCAATATTTGTTTTCGTTTTTGTTGTTTATTGAAAATCAACTTCCGTCTAACGGTGATATATGTATTAATGTTAACGACGACGTTCAATGATATTATCTGTTTGATTGAATTGAAATTGAATTCAAGAGGAGGGCCGCGACTGCCTGACGAACTGCTAATACACTAATCACACAAGGCAAATTTATGTGCAAGCGAGTAACATTTTCAGATCATGTGTATAAGTAGATGATGATGATTTCATGTAGGTCACTTAGAAAAAAAAGGTCAAATGAAAAATAAAAAACAGAACAATTTTTATATAAATAAAGATTCTGGAATGATAAAAACAACACTTGAAAATAATTAAAACAATGAAAAAATCGAAATCCAACAATTTTAAATTGTTTTTAGCTTTTCTCAGTCATATTTGTAACAGCTGAGTGTTAAATATGCCATACGTCAGCTTTAAAGGAGCCAACAGTGATGCCATAGCCAATGTACCGTTATGATAATCGATTAATCGCTGTATTGTAAAACAATAACAAAGGTGGTTCACATATGGTTGATATGAATGCCATACGGCTTTATTTAAGGTGTAACAAGCACCTTGGGTGATTACATGAATATTATTGTTAAAAAGTGGTCTTAAATGTGTGAGAGATAATAATTAAGGGTGGTTCACATGCATGGGTAATAAAATAGATATATTTTAGGAAAAAATGCATATAACTAAAGAAGTAATTATGGCAAATGCACGATTAAAAAGACAATGTATTGTGAAGTCATAATAAAAGGGTGGTTCACATGAGACGGATTAAAATGCCATACGCCGATATGGAAGATGTAAGAATAATATCCGGTAATGACATTAATAATTTTGTTTTAAATTAGTAATTAACACGTCGAATGGCATTTGTAAGGGTGGTTCACATGTAATTATAATAAAATAGTAATTTATAAGGTAGCTTGCTTATTATTAAAGAAGTAATGGAGACAAATAAATGAGAAACAAGAAAATAATGTGAGCTGCTAAAGTGCCATAGGCAATATTGAAGGAATATATTAATAATTAACGTTATTACATTAAAATTGATTTTTAATTTTTTTTTTGTTTTTGTAAAACATTATCAAGGGTGATTCACATGTTATACAATAAAAAGTATTTCCACCAAATTAGCCGTAAACGTATCGTAAGCGAATAATACAAATAATAAAATTTGAATTTCAAAAGTATTAAATTTTGTTTTTGTTTTTTGAATAATTGTATGGGTGGTTCACATTAAATTGTTGTACGTTAATATAAAATACGTAAGAATTTGGTGATATTCTTTCTACATTATTACTTTAAATTAGTCTTAATGAGGATGTAGAACAATCACAAAGTTGGATCACATGCATTGGAGAAATATTTGAATAAAACGAAAGTAATGTGTACATTTTGAGATAATTAATGAATGGTAATATATTAAGGGCGTTTCACACATAATCACTGACGAAGTAAAAAATAAGTGGATATAAAAAAGTTCATAAAATTTAAATAATTTTAATTTAATGACAGCAGTGTGACAAAATATGCGCCATACGTCACTATTAAATTAATACCCTAAACATAGGGCTACAAAATTACATCAATGTCAGTATTCTAAATTAGTTACAATAAAATGATGCCATGTAATAATGATTTAATAAAAAAAATTAGCTAAGAATTGTAAAAATTCTCCCAAAATGTTTTTTTTCGCTCCAAAAATAATTGTTTCCCCCATTAAAAAAAATTCACCAACAAAATTTTGTGTGTGCCATTGAATTTTTTGGGTTGGTTTTTTTATGTAATTGAATTTAATAAACGAAGAAGAAGAAGTACTTCTTTAACCATGACCGCATTTTTTACTGTTTTTTTATTATTGTTGCTGTGTTATTATTTTATTTTTATTATGATTAAGTTCAATTATGTTTGTCATACACAAGCAGTTTTGTTTGTAAAGAGGGAGGAGGAGGAAAAGAAGAAGACGAGGGTAGCAGACACAATATATTATGTGGCTCTTTACTACCCTCCCCCTCTGTTCGGCATTACTTTAAGAAAACATTATTTATGACATAATTGTTATATATATTTTTTTGTTGTTTCGGAGGGAATTAAATTTTATTAAAGTAAAAATAGATAATGAAATTCCCCCATGTGAAGAAAAGTGAAAATGTATGTGAAGAATTTAAGGTATATTTTAAACTTTTGCAACATGCTGAGTGTTAAATGTGCCATACATTAACATTAAAGGAGCCAACAGTGATACCATACCAAATGTACTGTTATGATAATCGATTTATCGATGTATCGTAAAATAATAATAAGGATGGTTCACATATGGCAGTTAGTAATGAAGACATATGACAATATTTAAGATTGTGATACGAAAATTAAATAAATATTTTGAAAACGATGAAATATTTATATATATTTGAAATATTTTAAAGCATATTTAACGTTATGTTATTATTTTTCGGAATCCTAGTTCTAGTTAAATTTCATCTCTTTTTCTCTTATTACAGTTATTCAGTTACTCTTCTGCAAGACTCTCAGTGACATCGTAACCCATATATACATATATCTACGTATATTCAACAATTGTTTGAATATGGAAAAAAAAATTGGTTAACGAATACAACAACAACACCAATAAAAGTAGTAAAACAAAAAAGGGGGCCATTGTGCTCATTTTCATGTTGTATTAATAAAAATCGAGGGAGAAAAAAGTTAATAATAATAAAAAAACAAAAAGAAGCATGGTATGATTTTTTTTTTGTTTGTGAACAGTGAAATGGGTCAATTATGGCCATAAACCACCACCACCCTCCCTTCCTCCCTACCGCCATTGATTATTTTGATTATCAAGTGGTGTTTGTATAAATTAAGGTGAATGGGTGGGCGGGCCGACTGAGCGAGCGTTCGCTAGTTCGTTCATACGTATAGATATTACTTAACATCAGCGTGCCATTCAGTAAGTAAACACTCTATGTGTTTATATTAACTAAAATTGAAAAGTGTCGGATTTCCAGGGTAGGCATACAATCCTACATATTCATATTTAGGTTGATGACATATGACATTTGCATATTTGTCATTATAGACGACGACATATTTGTTCTTTTGGGTGAAAATAATTAATAAAGAAAAATGGTTATGCTTTTTTTTCTTATCTCGGTTATATTCAGTATTTTTTTTTGTTTGTTTGCTTTTTTATATGATCTCATAATCTAGTTTTGTTGCTGGTTGTAGTTGTTGTTTCTCATTTTGCCATGGCCATGTGCTAGACTTTGGTTGTGAAAAAAATACGAAAAAAAAATCATGAACGAATGAAACAAAATATTATGGCCACCACTTTCTTTTGGCTTTCATTTCCTTAGTTTTATGTGGCTTTGCTGCTTTGCTTGTTGAAAGAATATCTCATGACCATCACCCTTTTTTTAGTTGGAAGGCTTATTTTTTTATTTTTCATTTAGCAAGCAGAATCATTTTTCTTTTCGTGATTTTTAATATAAAAATGTATATCATTGTTTAGAGGTTTACTATTTACAAGTTCATATGCTACGTTTTCTACGTGCTTTTCTGCCAGAAACAAATTCACTTTTTTATCAATAACATATAATGAAATTTTTTTGAAACAAAATCGAATTTTTTGCTTTGTACATAGATTTCCAAATGATAAGCTTTCAGTTTTTTTTTTATTTTCGTCCAAGGTACTATTATTTTGATTCATTTTCTATAATAACAATAAAGAAATATTATCAAGGGCATCATCGTTTATTATCAAACGTCAAATGATAAGAGGAAATTAACTAAGCATATGATTTTTTCTTTCGTTATGCGGACTATGGAATATCAGTAACTGTGAAAAAAAATCCAAGAAGGCCGACTCATTTTAATTATTTTTTGTGAATTTTCACTAAAATAATAATAATTAATCAGTTATGGCAGTTAATGACACCTTTTTGTGAGATTTATGCCATACGGCAATATTAAAGGGGGAGCTGTGGAACATAACGGAACAAAGGGTAGAGTAAGTATAAGGGTGGTTCACATTATTAAAATGTGGTTTACATGTATGATGACTAAAGGAGGCAAACAATTGAGATTATGTTTATACGTCAATATTAAAGGAGGAGCTGTGTTATTACAACATAACGGGACAATAAGTAGAGTAATCATAAGGGAGGTTCACATTATTAGAACAATTGAGCCTTGAAGGCAATTATAAAAGAAAAAACACTGACTTTAAAAAGCTATATTGAATTTTCATTATATTCTGACCACTACTCATTAAAAACATTTTATATTAAAATTAATTTTAAATTTTATTCAATTTTAAATAATACATACTATTTTTTTAATGTGTGATTAAACTTTACATGCGTCTTCATTTAAGAATTAACACTTGGTACCAATAAAACACAAAATTTATTGGTCTACTTTTCGAAAATCTGATATTTATATGGGATTTCATATAAATCGTAAAAATATTCCTTGGAAATATTTGCTAAATAATTAGGAACCACATTTTTATAAATATTAATAGTTTAAGGACTTTTCAGTCGAGGTACTTTTATATTTTTTCATGTTAAATGTCATGTTGGTGTTTTTGAAATGAAAAATGAAATGAAAAAAATACTTTAATTAAAAAAATAGATTATGGCCATTATAGTAAAGTTTTACAAAAAACATATTTAAATTTATTCTTAATTTTCGAATGGCATTGCTATTTAAATTGATAAAATATTCAAATTACAATTAAAATATTTTTATTTCCTTTAATATCACATTTCACAGTCCACAACATACTATTTCCCACTATTCTTTCATTAAATCACTTTTTGCAATTCAAATTTGCAATTTCATTCAATTTCCATACGGAAAAACTATGCAAATGCCCATTTTGCCATGCGCCTTCATTTAAGCATCACCAATAAACGCCTTATGTTGACATATTTCAAAGACACATCAACAAGACGACGGCGACGCTGACGATACAGCCTAGGAGATATGAAGCTGACATTTTTGGTATATAATTTCGCTATTTATTTTTTTTTGGGTAACTATGTCCTCATTTATATTATTCTCCGACTTCCTACAAAACGATGACAACAACAAAAATCAACCATTAAGGCTAAAAAGTGTTATGCTAAGAAAGGAAGTAAATACCCCCAAAAAATTCTAATTAGAATCCATGCACATATCTACACACAGAGATTGACACACACAGATGGATGGTTATGACCTCACAACCTCAAAAAACCAGCAGGAGAGAAGAAAGAGCCGTGAGGAGAGAGAGGAAGAAAAAAAATGAAAATGAATTGTAACATAAAAGAGGTCACAGAGCAGTTACTGCTGATGGTGTCAGCAGTAAACAACAACAAAAATGAAAGAAGGATACAAAATGTTATTAAATTTGTGCACATTTTTTCATGCGTTACACCGCGCACAGGCACACACATAGACACCAACACGGATATATACAACAAAGCGAAAGGAGAACATAAAATCTATTCAAGAAATTAATCTAAATATGCGGCGGCAGCAGCACCATTTGCAGGAAACAAAGGCACAGTTGTTGTTGTTGCTGCTGTTGTAGTTTAGAGAGAAGGAAAAAGTAACAAATTGAAGACAACAACAACAGTACCAACTGCAAAAAAAAACGAAAAGGAAAAAGTGTGTCACCTTTATTTAGGCAAAAAAAAAACAGAAAAAAACATATCAACGAGATGTTGTCGAAGAAGAAGAAGCAGAAAAAAATACTCCAACACACCCAGGCAGCAGGCAACAGCATGCCATCGACATCAGCCACTCAGAAAAACAAAAAACAAGTACTGATGGTTGGCAATATTTGTGCTTGCTTGGTTTGGCAGTCGTCGACAGGCCAACGACGTAAAAGGAAGACGAAGAAGGCATGTTAGCAACAACCATGTGCTCGTGAAATAGTCGTATGGCCGACGACGACAAGTTGTTGCTCTGCTGCTACGTTGCTGTGTTTGTTTGTTCTTGTGTTATTATTTATTTGTAATTGTAACTAGAGCTGCTGGCGGTCTCTTGTTTATTCTCATCTCAGGTGTGTGTGATTCACAAGAGAGGCGCAGTTGTAATAATGTAAGGAAATGAGAGGCTTTAACAGAGAACATCACTGAATAATTGATTTCTGTAACATAACAGTGATGTGTAAGGCCTGTGTGTAAAGAGAGTCAGAGATGAAACAGGCAAAGAGTTTTATTGTGTAAATTCCTTAAGGAAATGAGAAGCTTTAATAGATACAAGCCCTAAATAATTGATTCCTTTAACAGAACAGTGGTTTGTGGGACGGAAATTATTTAGATCTTTGCAAATTGTTATTTTTTTAATGCAAAATTTTAATATTTAATCTTTATATTTATTTTAAAAATTAATAATTTTAGTCCCTTCCGTGTGTGTAAAAGAGTCAGAGCTGTAACGGGTAAAGAGTTTTGTTGTATAAATTCCTTAAGGAAATGAGAGACTATAACAGATGGGTAGCACTTAATAATTGATTCCTTTAACAGAACAGTGGTTTTGAGGCCACGGAAATCCATTTCGAAGAGAGTTGGAATATTTCTCTGTTGGAAAATTTATATTCTTTTAAATTGATTTGTTAAATCTTTACTTTTAAATTATAATAATTTGATTGTTTTTTTTTTTAATTTACCTTTTATTATCACAGCAATGCTGGTGTTGTTGTTGTAATTGTTGTAATGTTGCAGGAGGTATTAAATTATGATTTTGGTGGGCTTGTAAGGCATTACAATATTCTTTCGAATTTGGACATTTAACCAATAATACTACACACACGGGTGAATTTGAATTGGAATTTGCGGATGATGATGAGGACGAAGAAGACGAGGCAGAAGAAGAACCGGAAGCGGAGTTTTGCAACTGTTGCAATTGTTGTTGCTGGTGATGATGATGATGCTGGTGGCTGTGTGAGTGACGGTGGTGATGTTGCCTCTGTTCTTGTTGCAGGTGATTTTGTGAATATTGTTGTTGTTGCTGCTGCTGGTATTGTTGCTGCAATAGACGTTGCTGGTGGTGTTGCTGCTGATGAGCACCGTTATGTTGCTGGGAATTTGTTGACAAACTATTATTCTGTTGATTTAAATGCCGGCGTATTGATTGGTGTATACGATGCGTTATCGAATTTGTTAAAGCGGAATGTTGCTGCTGAAACGTGGAGGAGGCGGACGATGACGAAGACGACGAAGAGCTGGTATTACTTGTTGACGTTGACGAGGATCCTGATGTTGTGGCCAAGGATGATGATGACGATCCTGCAGCAGCAATTGCATTCGGTGGGGAATTTAAACGATTGGCAATAATACTATTCAATGTTGTACTTGATGTTATCAATGATGAGGGATTGGCAGCAACCAAACTTCTTAGGGTAGAATTGGCCGACGACGACGACGTAGATGATGAGGGGGAGGAGATTGATGATGATGACGATGATGATGTTGTTGTAGAACTATTTGTTGTATTTGTACTCGAGTTGCTGGCTGAGGAACTTTGTCTGGTTAATACATTTTGTAAATTATTTGAATTGAAAATTTCTTGCAACAATGGTGAGGTGGGAGGAGCAGAGACAGAAACAACGGCAGATGTAGACGAATTATTATTATGATTATTTGTGTGATTTTGTGGCGGTGAGGCCAAATGTTGGGCCAGGGTTTGTAAGGTGGGTCGTGACGCTGAGGAGGCCGCAATTGCAGCAGCTACCAAAGGATTGTCAGCAGCACTGTTGGTGCTATTATGGCCCAAATGTTGTTGCAACACCGATGACGTCTGCTGCTGCTGTTGTTGTACTGGTGAGTGTAGTGGTGTGGCGGCTTTGGAGGTGCTTGGTAAGTTGGAGCAATTACTTTGCAGCTGTTGTTGCAGCGTACTTAAGGCAGGTGTTGGTGGCGTTGAAGGCGGTGGTGTGGGAGGAGACAATAACTGCTGCTGCTGTCTCAAATGGGGCGTTTGTATAATGGGCGGTGCAGCAATTAGCTGCTGTAAACGACTGCAGGTGGTGCTGGTGGCACTGCTAGAGGTCAAATCCTTGAGTGGCGAGGCAGCTGGTGACGTTGAGGACAATGTTGCTGCTGCAGCGGCCGCCGAGGACGTTGAGGGTTGTGCCAAGGCTGCACTTAATGTTGGCAGCTGGTGTGATTGTTGCTGCTGTTGTTGTTGTGGTGCTTGTTGTTGGGTAGGCGTTGTGGGCGTGGTGGCTGGTGGTGTAAGGCAAAAACAATCATCATCCAATTCGGCATCCACAGAGGAGATATCATTTAAATTCGGTAAGAAATTATCTTCTAAATTTTGCACTATTAAATTATTGTTGCCGTTGTTCGAATTTGTTGTATTGGTATTTGGCTTTTTCTTTATTTTCACAAAAGGGTCAAACATTTTTTGTGGATTTTTTTGAATTTTTACGATTTCACAAAGGTGTGGGTGGGGATTATTTATTTTTCAATAATTTTATTTGCTTTGCTCACAGATATTTTTCAAAATTGCCTTAACAATTCATTACACAAAACTTAGAAATATTTTGTTAAATATTATTTTTTTTAAATAATTTTCCAGAGATTTTTTTTATAATAATAATAAAACTGTTTAAAATTTGCACTTTAGGGTTTTATATATTTAATTTTTATTTTTTGTAATAATAAATAATTATTTTGTTTTCTTCTTCACAACAATATGTATTTTTTGTTAATATTATTTAGATCTTTTTTTCAATAATATGGTTTGTTGTTGAAATAAATTCCTCTTCAGATGTTGTTTTGTCACAGTTACAAATTTGTATTTTTCTTAGTTTTCACAGAAATAATTTTTATTGTTGTTATTTATTTATTTATTTTTCTTCTCCATTTTTTGTTTAATTCACTTACTTAAACATTTCTTATTTTTCAAATAACAACACACAATAATGGAAATAATAACAAAAAAAAAAAAAAGAAATCAGCGACGGCGAGATATTGAGAAAACGAAATTTTTACAAATTTGAATTTTTCTTCGATTTTTTTTTTGGTGAACGGCTGGCTGCTCTATACGATGACGATACGACAACCACGATTGATATAGACAGAAACGTTGCTATTTTGTTTTACTATATATAATTTGTTATTTGCTTTTATTTTTTTGGTTGGTTGTGAGTTCACGTTACAATTACGCTATGGTTAACAACAGAGACGAGCGCACGATGCGTTCACACCGATAGTCAATAACAAACTAAATGTAGGAGACGGAACAAATATCACACGTTATGTTAACGAAACAACAAAATGAGTGTACGCGAACGAACAAACGAATGAAAATACCAGCAGTGACAACAACAACAACAATGAGACGACGAACACACAGCAGCAGCAAACACAAGACCATCGAATTAAAACGGCCAAGCAAACGACACGAACAAGCACAAACACACACACACACTCACCCATGCAAACACTCAATGAAACTCACAGATACTCTCGAACACATCCACACACACATGTACGCTCACGTAGGCAAATACCTTTGCTCGACAAATCTCATGGTGAGACATTCCGTATCCCAAGAGCATTCATTTCATGTGAGTTGTAGAGTTGCCAAGGTTGGTGTGAATAATAAAAATATATACATACGGTAGAGGTGGAAAATTGGTTGAGGTTCATTAAATATTCGTAGCGAAATGTGAGGTTATGGGACAAAAATTTGATAGAGGTTAAATAATATTATTAAGCCCTAGATTTTTTCGAAAATAAAACGAAAAAAGACCAACAGAACTGTAAATTTTGAATGGGAAAACATATAGAAACTCTGTATTAACACATTTGGAGGGGGAAATAATTGGTGCACATAAAAATGTGAAGAAATGAAAATATAGGGAAAATACCAAAAAGTGGACCTATATCGACATTTCTACAAATCGATTATGTAAACCATAATACAAATTTCAGAAATTTTTAATGGATAATTATAGTCTCAGCCTTATGACTAATGAGGGTGTATACACTTTAACACGGCGAAAATGTGCCCCATAGAAATATTGGTTCTAGACCCCATGTTTTTTTTTACCAAAACCGTTTTAAAAAAATTGGATTTCGTCCAAAATTTGCACATGTTATTATTTCTTTCAAACTTAGTTCAAGTTCGAAGATGGGGAATCACTCCTTCTTGTACATCCGACACAAAATGGTCAAAATTGTGCAAACAATTAATTATACCCTACACGACTATGTTGTCAGGGTATTATAGCTTTGTGCAGCCCCAAAAGTTTGTAACACCGCGAAATATTGGTCCTAGACCCACCTTTAACTATACCGATCGTCATATCGCGACTAGCAGAGTCGATCTAGACATGTGTGTCCGTCCATTATAATTTGTAAACACGATACAGGCCACAGTTATGGACCAATCTTCACGAAGTTTTGCATGTAGGATGGGTTCTGGCCAATGAAGATCGGTTAATATTTAGGGGATGAAATGGACTAAAAACTTTATTTTTGTCTGATTTTCTGGTAGCTCCAGAGGCCGCAATTATGGCCCAAACATAACGAATTTTTACAAGGAGAATGGGATCGGGCCAAAGAAGAAGCATGACTGTTTTAATAAACATCGATCAATATTTAGAGGGTCAAATGGACCCGCAAGATCGGTTAATATTTAGGGGATGAAATGGATCAAAAACTTTATTTTTGTCTGATTTTCTGGTAGCTCCAGAGGCCGCAATTATGACCCAAACATCACGAATTTTTACAAGTAGAATGGGATCGGGCCAAAAAGAAGCATGCCTGTTTTAATAAACATCAGACAATATTTGGCGGGTCACAAATGGACCCTGATTTTTGTGTGAAAATGACAAAATTTGTATTCTATGGCATATATGTTTAGCCCTGAAGAACGTATACTCGAGAAGTTGATATTATATCCAAGATGAGTGGTTGACCTTTAAATTGATACCAATTATATTGTCGTATGTACTCGGATGTGGAAGTTACACTTAAATATTTTCAGGTGCTTACGTATTCAGATATTATTTAGTAACTAGCGGCCGGAAATATAGCGCTGATCGTGTTGAAATTTTCCATGTATGGTCAAGGACAACGCATATAATTTTCGGTGATGATCAGATAATAATTTTGATATGAACTGGATCGATAACTTAATTTTTTGTATTTTTTCCAGTCGATCTTGAAAGCCGAACATAGCAACACAACTCACGATGAAGGGAATATGGCCAAGAAAATAGAAGGGTTGTACTGAATATTATTAGTAATATTTGTTGACCTCTAATCGGTCAAGAGTGTGCAAATATCGCGAAATATTGCACAAGCTCAGAATAGAGTTTCGTGGAAGTTGTGTAGGGTATCATGTGGTCGGCCCCGTCCGACTATGCTGCTCCGCTCACTGGTTTTATAATATCATGCGAACGGACTAATCTATTTGAACCAAACATTGAATAACCTATTATATTAACAAAGCCTAGATCTTGTAGGTAGATGGGACCCATTGTTCCACTCCAACGTGCCCAGGTTTTATATCGCTAGGTTGGGTGGAAGCTGCTGTTTCAATATGAAAATTGTTATAGTTTTTTGTCTCGATATTCTCCGTAGGTGATATGATTACAGAGTCTTATAGCAAAACCCAAAACGCGGAGCAAATCAGCTAAATATTTTAATATAAAAAGGGGGTTATATGGGAACTACCCCAAAAAGGGGCGAATATTAATAACTTTTGGTAGGGAGATTTGTTACCATATACGACTACAAAATATCAAATTACAACGAATTCGATTGAAAACCGCGCTAAAAAAAACCCAAAATACCAACCATTGGAGGATATCCTTATATGGGGTCTACCTGGAAAAAATGGACCTATATATAAAATCCGGTCAAAACCCCGCAAAACTGAACATTGTGGGGGGGGGGTACCTATATATGGGGGCTACCAGAAAAAGTGGACCTATATTTAGTGTGGAAAGTTGGTACCCAGTAAGAACCCAATGTACCAAATTTCAGGTTGAAAAACATCGAAAATTGGAGGGTACCCTTATATCCCATCTTCGAACTCGACCTGCCTGCAGACAAAAGACGAACCTGTGCAAGACGGACCTTGGCGATCTATCTCAATTCGTTTAGAGGCCAGAGTGATTACAACAGACAGACGGACATGGCTAAATCGTCATAGAATTTTACGCTGATCAAGAATATTTATGAAAATAGAGGATAGAAATTAAAACTGGTTGACATGTTCACTGCTGAAAGGATTTTTATTATAAACAGTATTTTTTATGCGTAAGGCTTCATACTAGCCGATTCCACTTATCCAATATTTTTCAGTTAAGCGACTTACAGTAAAGCGAAGTGAGTTACAAACGGAAAAACAAAATTAATATACCCTCCATACTATGGTGGAGGGTATAATAAATAACTTCAGACAAGTAAATTCCATTAAAATCAGTCCTAAATAACGGTATTTTATTTTGGTGGTCAATCGATAGCCTCAAAAAAAAAAAAAAAAAAAAAAATGAAATATTTGGGCAAAATAACTTGTGCCATATTTCATCCGCATCGGATGATTAAGTGTCAAATAAAATTGTTAGTCCATTATTTGCGAATCAATAGTTCCAAGTTCCTTATAAACTCATCGAAGCCCTTTGAATCCTTATTCAAAATATTGCTGTGTTTTTATTGGATTTCAAAAATCCTCTTTTGAAGCCCACAAAACTGTACCTCTCTCTGTTTATACTTCATAAACCAATTTACTTAAATGTGTTCCTACTCCAATACCCTTCAAAAACACAATAATTAATAATGATTTCACTCTGACCCTGAAAAAGTTTATTTTCCCCAGCAATTGGCAACCCTACTCATGCTATATGTAAGTAGTACTCGCGCGCACATGACAACTACTACTTGTAGTAGTTGTTGTTGTTGTTGTAGCAGCCCTATTGCTTTTACACAATGGGCTGAGGTGACAGACGTTGGCCGAGTAAGACTCGGGTCGTTTCGGATCGTAGACCCCTCTGTCGTGGAAACGACTACTTGTAGTAGTAGTTCCTCGTTTCACAAAAAAAAAATAGTTTTTTATTATTATTATTGAATATCAAGAGTGTTAGTACGCCGCTCTGTTGAAAGCTGTTATTTACATTCACATGCTTTTGTATAAAAGCAATAGCAACAACAACAGCACACAATGTGTAACAACAAAGTGTTTATGGCGAAATCATCAATTGTATTTACAATGGGAGCGGAGCAGCAGCAGTAATACACCACAAATGAGATATTAATGGGAGAGCGAGAGAGAGCTCCAACTCTATACAACCCACATAGAGGGAAATCTTTGCTCCCAATTTGTATTTACTTATTCCGTTCACATGTGTTGCTTTTGTATAAAAGTTTTAAATCATTGAAATCTCATGGATTTCCATTATTGTTATTATTTTCCCTTCCTCCTTTTGTGCCATGTTTCATAACAGAGGTCGACAAGAGCTGTAAATGATAACAGCAACAACAACAACCCCAACAGCAATAACAAACGAACAAACATTAAGGAAGGAGAGATTGTTGGAATGTTGTTGCTGCTGCCGCTGTTGTTGTAGTTGCTGTGTGAGTGTGATGATGCGCAATGAGTATTTCATTTTGCAATGTTTTTACATTGAGGTGATATTTTGCTGTCGCTGTTGCTGCTTCTTCTTGTTCGAGCAAGCAAACGACCAGTGCGTTGTAATGTATGTGATGGCTGGCTGAGTATGGGTGTGTATGTGGGGGCTTTGTGCTTGTGCCTATATAAATGTAATTTTGTAATTTGAATTTACCATGCTTTTTCTCATTGTAAAAAACGTACGTATGTCTCTTTGTAATGTCGTAAATATTGCTGCTGTTGTTGTTGTTGTATTTCAGTTTAT